ACAGTTCCCCTCTGCCAAGAGCCGCGAAGAGCAGATTGCACAATTGAAGCGCAGCGCTGGCGTCGTCTCGCAGGTCGCAGAGAAGGCAAAGAAGTGGCTGGGCGGCGGCTCTACACCAACTCCAGCTGAAAAGGCGGAAGAAGAGCCGTACGACTTGTTGGTCATTGGTGGTGGCGCGACCGGAGCCGGTATTGCGCTCGACGCTGTTACAAGAGGTCTCAAGGTTGCGCTCGTTGAGCGCGACGACTTCAGCAGTGGTACCAGCAGTAAGAGCACAAAGCTGGTACACGGCGGTGTACGATACCTAGAAAAGGCTGTCTGGAACCTGGACTACAACCAGTGAGTAGCTCAAGAAAGTTATTCCTGCGATATCTAATCTGAAGCTTAGATACGCTCTTGTCGTCGAAGCTCTTCGCGAGCGTCGTTACTTCTTAGATACCGCTCCTCACCTGTCACAATGGCTGCCAATTATGATTCCTATCCAGAAGTGGTGGCAAGCGCCTTACTTCTGGGCTGGTACCAAGTTCTACGATTTCCTTGCCGGTTCAGAGAACATTGAGAGCTCATATTACATGACCAAGAGCAAGGCTCTGGACGCATTCCCCATGTTGAAGAAGGAAGGCCTTGTTGGCGCCCTGGTCTACTACGGTAAGCTTAGCAGTCACTTGATCCGTTGCAGCAACTGACTCCATCAGATGGTGCGCACAACGACTCTCGCATGAACGTTTCCATCGCAATGACTGCTGCACTATACGGCGCAACTGTCGTCAACCATGTCGAGGTCACCAGCCTCGAGAAGGATGCTAACGGTCGTCTGTGCGGAGCAAAGGCCAAAGATTGCATCGCTGAGCGCGATGGCAAGAAGGCTGAAGAGTTCTCGATCAAGGCCAAGGGTATCATCAATGCTACCGGTCCCTTCACCGACTCCATCCGCAAAATGGACGACCAAGAGGTGTCTGAAATTGTCGCCCCTAGCTCTGGTGTTCACGTCATCCTTCCTGGCTACTACAGCCCTGCAAACATGGGTCTCATCGATCCCAACACTTCTGACGGTCGTGTCATCTTCTTCCTGCCATGGCAGGGCAACACCATTGCGGGTACAACAGACACCGCTTGTGACATCAAGAGGGATCCCGTTGCTGGCGAGGAAGAGATTGACTGGATTCTCAAGGAGGTTAAGCGCTACCTTCAGCCAGAAATCAATGTTCGCCGAGGCGATGTGCTTGCTGCTTGGTCCGGTATCCGTCCTCTTGTCCGTGACCCCAACGCGAGTGCGACCGAGGGTCTTGTCCGCAACCACTTGGTCACTACCTCTCCTTCCGGTCTGATGACTTGCTCAGGTGGCAAGTGGACTACCTACCGCCAGATGGCCGAAGAGACTGTCGACGAGGCAATCAAGGAGTACAGCTTAAAGACTCAGCCCCTCGTGAACCCCACTCTCGTTAGCGGAACTGAGGTCAAGGATGAAGCTCCTCTCGACGGCACCTGCCAAACCCACCGTGTCCGACTTGTCGGTGCACACGGCTTCTCCAAGACTCTCTTCATCAACCTCATCCAGCACTACGGCATCGAGACTGACGTAGCCAAATACCTTTGCCAGGCGTACGGTGACCGTGCGTGGACTGTCGCAGCTCTTGCATCGCCCACTGAGCAGCGCTTCCCTGTCCGCGGCATTAAGATGGCTGAGCTCTACCCATACATCGACGGTGAGGTCCGCTACTGCGTCCGCCACGAGTATGCTCAAACTGCTACGGACGTAATTGCGCGCCGCATGCGTCTCGCCTTCTTGAACGCCCAGGCCGCTCTCGAAGCTCTTCCCAAGGTCATTGACATCATGGGCGAGGAGCTAAAGTGGGACAACAAGCGTAAGGAGGTCGAGTGGAAGAATTCTATCACTTACCTCGGCTCCATGGGCCTGCCCAAGAACAAGCTCTCGCTCACCCGCAAGGATGTAGAGAGCGGCCACGTGGGCAAGTACACAGATGAGGACTACCACCTCTACGCTCGTCACGGTATGTCAACCTCCGATGAGGAAGCTTGTGCAAACCTCTTTGCATTTGGGATTAGGCTAAATGAATTGTTTGCAGATAAACCCGATGAGCTCCTGCAGTCGGACAGCAAGTTCCCAAGCGGCCACAACCCCGTCGTGGGCCGTGAATCCAAGGTCAACAAATAAGCGTGTAGACACGCGCCTACAGCTATAGTGTAATTGAAGGACCTGTCATATCCGATTCGTACACACCACTCGTATATTGTACCATCCTAATCGGCGCGCGGCGTATACGAGTCGACTCGACTCGACTTGCATCATGTTGGCGCTCGATACCATCCGCATGACTGGCGTCCTTTTCTCCATCACGATCTGTATATAATCGTCTACAATTAGCGTTGCCCGAAAGAATAGAGTAAGCTCCATTCAGCTCTTAAGATGCTATGTTTTTATCGATGCATCTTCTTTTTGCCGAGGCATACTGCTCTCACCGCTCGCTAGTTTCTTCAGTCTCCACACATATCCACATCCCCGCCACATCAACTGTATTTTTCGTTCCAGAGCAGTGGATACAGCCCATAAGCTATGGCTGGGCTGTGTATCAGTTCAAGTCTATATTTGCTCTATCTTATGACTTTGCCATCGACCACATCTGCGATACCAACTCTTCTTCAGTAGTATAGTGGTCAGTATTTCCGCTTGTCATCCAAGTCTTCCAGGCTGCTTGACAACTCGCGGGAGACCGGGGTTCAATTCCCCGCTGGAGAGTACTACTATCGCGCTTCTTTTTTGCCGTTGCTGTGCAGGATGGGGGGTTTCTTTTTTGGACGTGGTCGCTTTTTTGCATGCCCAACGCGTATGTATTACCGCGCCATCAGGCTTGTCCACAAATGTCTCCTGATATGTGAATGGCACTCCTATACTGCTGTCGCTTAGTTTTCTGCTGCCAGTAGTGGAGGGAAGGAAATTGTTGTCTAAGACAAACGACTATACAGTCGAACTTCAAGACAAAGGAAGATTCAAGGGATATAAAGACTACTTCACGCGTAGATAGGATACTACAACTGTTACCTCAATACACTTCAGTTAGTCACACTTACAATAGAAATGGTCCGCGGAGATGCTGCTGAGGTTTCGCTCCTCAATCTTCCCTGGAGGACATGGGGCCGATATCGCGCACGGCATGAAAGATATGCATACATGAAATCGAGTCGGGAAACGATCTACTATCAGCTGCTTAGCTCTTGGTTATTTTACTCCATTTGGTTTCTTCTGGCATTCCCTGGGTTTGCTACACGAGCAAAGGCTTTCACCCCTTCTGACTTTCCGATATGGCGTCATCTCCTTGGGTGCCTTCCTATACGACGTCAGCGCGACTGCGAGTTAGGTATGCACTCTGTTGGTAAGGCGAAAGTGTTGGAAACTTGCAAGTTGAAATTCCGCGTTTTCCGTTGTGGCACATGGTTCCCCATGGATACCCTAGCGAAGCCAAAGTGTGTTCTACTCAATCGCTGCATGAGTGCTGTGGATGGTCTGTCATGCTCTGGACCGCTCAGTATACTCCAAATTGTCAAGTGGGCTGCCTATGACGATGAACTTGCATACCGGGCAATTAACATGCTCCATCAAGGAAGGCCTTGTTGGAAAATCCAAGGTTGACGTATTTGCAGTGCCACGCCACAACTCTGTAGCCCATGCTACGCTCTTACGTCGCCTCAAGCCGGCTCTTGATGGTTTCAACCTATCCAACTGTTCAGCACAACTTGATCCCTTCTCCGTCCGATTCTCTGCAGCGTGGGGGCAAGTTTCGCGAACAATAAGAACTTGCCTCGGCAGGCTGAAGGTCCTAGAGATGGTGTCAGTCAAGACTGAGGGGACAAAAATAGATCGATATGAAATTTCATCAACCTGTTCGGAAGGACTTGGTATTTTTGGTCTCCGAGATGAAGTTGAAACCTTTGCTCCATAGCGGGTTGCAAGGCCGTGAGTTGAGTGATCTCGCTATTTGAGAATCATAGAGCAACCAAGCAGAAGTTCCAATTATGGAGTCTCCTGGCGTCGCTCTCAGTGCTATGCAGTTCTACCATGTGTCTGTAAGCTGGACCACTATTCAATCGTCAAACCTGGGTTGAACGTACTACTGTAGATCATCGTCCCACACGGCTTTTCGGCGACTTCCTTTACGCCTGCCGGCAGATTCCACATGCACACACATACTGGGGTAGATGTCGAGCCAGCGCAACTTCTACTATACCGAGGACAGCCAGTTCCCACGCCAATTACGTCTTTACAACTTCAATCTTGGCCTATAGGTGTTACAATATAGAGGCTGCCTCGGTATTTTGTCGATTATAGTAGTCGCCGCCGATCGTTCCCTATGAGCGCATGCAACATGACCATAGTAGGTCGGAAATAAGTCATTCGCAATTGGGTACCTCTTTTCCCCGCAAACCACCACTCTGGATCCTTGGGGCATGGTTGGCTCTTTTTTGGAAAAGGATCGTCATGTCCAACTACTTCGGGCAAGAGGCGTGAACTAGCCGACGTGGGGCGCGAACCTTCTGTCCAGGCGCGACGCTACTTCCATTTGTAAAGCTACCCAAGGGTCTGCATCGATAGTCTCGTGCTGGTCGTCAACTTGTCAACTCCCTTTCGGACCTGGCTCCTAGGTACCTTGCATCAACCAAACTTGGGTAACACGGTCGCCGATCGACTCCGGGGTATGTCGATCATCAACTACACACTGTGCAACAAGGGGGGCAAGACAGCTCTCAACCAATGGAGAGAAGCGGATATCCAAGACTTCATGATGGCGATGTTGGGTGTGGCGGCGTGAGGAACTTGCCTCGGTCCCGCTCCACATTTGTATGATCGAGGAACAAGAAGTTGGATATAGGAGAACATAGGAAATGATTATAAGTAGAGGACACATGCGACCGAAGACAGGAATCATTCTCTCAAGTCATCTTGAGTAGATCATTCCACTTCATCTCAGAATTGCTTCTTTGCAATGCATACTCTTTCTCTCGTACTTCTCCAGGCTTCGGCGGCCGTCGCCTACCCCTGGGTCTCTGGCCAGCCAGGTGTCAACTCTGGGCTCTTTAGGAACGCACGCACTGTCGAAAGACGCCAGGCGAACTGCCCTTTCAACCCTGTCCATAAGGGTGCCGCTCCATACACTGCTCCTTACACCTACACCGGGGCCAAGAACGGTGTACCTGGTAGCCAAAAGGGTGGTATCAAAGTCCCAGCAGACGGCGATACGGCTCACGCCTACACTCCTCCCGGACCTAACGATATTCGTGGACCATGCCCAGGTCTGAACGCTGCAGCTAACGTAAGTATACGATACAATAATGTGTACAATATTCTCGCTGACCAGAGATAGCACAACTTCCTTTCGCATGATGGTATAACCAACTTCCAGGAGTTGGTCGATGCCCAACAGAATGTTTATAACGTAGGCTATGACCTAGCTGTCCTTCTCGCAGTCCTTGGTATCGAGGCTGGTGGTGACGTACTCTCTGGTCGTTTGAGTATCGGTTGCGATGCTACATCTCGTACTGCGACGCTTCCTCTTCTGGGCACCCAGCCCGGTCTTGATGGCCACAACAAGTTTGAGGCAGATTCGTCGCTCACGCGTAACGATTTCTTCCTCGCAGACGGGGATAACTACAGCTTTAACGGCACACTGTTCGCAGAGATGAAGGCAGTCGCTGACAAGGTTTCTGGTGGAAACTTTGATCGCAATGCTCTCGCCGCATACCGCAGCCAGCGGTACGAAGAGTCTGTTCAAGAGGTATGTAACTCCCGCCTTCAAGCCATATGTTTCCCCATGCTTACAGCTAGATTTCAGAACCCCAATTTCTTCTTTGGACCCCTGTCTCTGTTGCTTTACGGAGCCGCCTCCTTCCTCTACGAACTCTTCCCCAGCTACGGCGACAAGGGCGTACCGGATCTTGCGACAATGAAGGCAAGTTCCCAAAATTTGAAACCATGCGACACATTCTGACATCGTATCCAGTCCTTCTTTGGAGCTGTCGAAGACTCGTCTGCACCAGGTGGCTGGCGTCACGTCCCCGAGCGCATTCCTGACAACTGGTTCTCGCGTGTCGAGCCCTACAAAAACATGGATGTTACCAACGAGATTCTGGCCCAGTATCTCAAGTATCCCAAGCTATTCGGAGGTAACGTGGGCACGAACAACTTCGATGCCTTGTCCACACCATTCGATATTCTTGTCGACGGCAAGCTACCCAGCGATGTTACAGCGGCGCAGCTGCTTTGCTTGCTTTACCAGCTGGGTGTCATGGCTGTTCCCAGCACTCTGAGTACTGTCACTGATATCACTGGTGCCGTGCTGAATTTCGGTATCGGAAAGCTGAACCCGGTGTTCAAGAACGCTGGATGCCCCTTGAAGGTTGGCTAAACTTGAAACACAAGTTGAATTTGGGAATCGTACCTAGTTAATGGATATTACAATGCAGGCTGGGCTGGAGTAAGGATTGGTTGACCATACTTCATGATGTGGAATCGGAACATTTACGTATAACAATTAGCATGATCAATAACAATTTATTACTTATATCCCTAAAGCAATTCTGGACCCGGCTTATGTAGTGTATTGCTCCTATGCTTGTCCATAAGGCTGGCAGACTAGGTTGCTGGCCACCAAGTCATGCTCACAAGGACGGATATCGATCACAACCTCGGTACCATTGCTGCTAGTCACATTGAAACACTCAGTACATCTACAGCAATCACAGTAAGCAAAATAAATTCCATGCAAAGTCAGAGTTTTAGGACGCAAAGCGGAGTTCACCTGCATTGCCCTTCAACAAGTGCTACAAGCTTCAAAACATCATGTAGAAACAAATCAAACCGGATACCATCATTTCTCCTCTGTGTGATTGCCGTCGATGTTTTGGTTTTGGAGTCAGCTAGGACCCTACCGAGACCACCCCTGATCTAAATTGGCCCACGAAACGAGTGAATCGGAAGCTCAATATTGACAAGAAAGGTGTTTTCACTCGATACCGAAGGCAGAGCAGTGTTAGACCAACCATATCTTACAGCCAGCAAGGCTCGCCAGGTCAAATCAAAACAAAGTTGTGTCTTTACTTACACATTGGAAACAATATGACAGGTGATTCAAGCACGAGTCGCCGAATGTAGACTCAAACGTCCATGATGTTTGCACGACCGATATCGATGTTTAACTAATTGCCCATGGGATAGCGTTCGGTGAGTGTTTGGAGCTGTAGCAAGATACTAGAAAGAGAGAATAGAAGTAGAGATCGAATAACATGACCTCAGGAGGTTACATGCCTTCGAATAGCCAGAACATGTGTTCGCATTCCCATGTCTCTTGTCTTATGTGATTGGCACCCGCGGTGAGTTTTTCAAAGCATAATATTTGACGATTCTGCTTAGTCGACTGATATTGCAGCGTCTTCGAAATGGTCCATATGGGATGCCATTGTGCCTTCAACATCACAAGTCAGGTTCAGACCTGGAGCATTGTTGGTTTAGATACCTACCACGTGTTCCTTTCCTTTCACTCCACTAGCGCCTCCCTTCCTACTATATGGTTCAGGTTTTTCTCCTTCTTACATAGAACAATTGCATTACACTCTTCTTATTCTACAAGCATCTCCTTCTAGCGCCGCAGCCACCTTGCGTATAGACAAGCGTGTGTCCGCCACCAATCTATATAACGTTTGGGATTCACCCACAGAACGCTAGCATCCAGTTCGAGGCTGTAACGTCTCCGTTGTGATACAAGACTCATTTGCTTCGTATCAATCGCCCAATTTTGAGGCGAGACAGAAGAGCTTCTCCACACGGTGAAATCTTGGAATCCCTATCAGCAGGAAGCTCGTAACGCTGTTCGGTGTATCTACCGAAAAGGACTGTTTTCTGAAATCCGCGGGCTTCGTTGAAGGGGCCATTGATTTTTTGGTGGATGATGTCACCGCCGGGAATTTTGCTCGTCATTTACAGTTTTCCATGCATGATAATGTATTGACCTCAAGAGTCGGAGATGAACGTGTTGTGGAGGATGTGACAACTGCAAAGCTTGTGCGACGCGCCTAAACTATGTTGTGTGCAGCCAACGGCAAAGACAAGACTCCACTGAGGGAGTTGGAAGTTCATATCAATAGCCATGGATGAGCTACGTTAGCGAGTGTCGGACTTGATTAGAATCGGGCTTCGTGTAACCATTCAGGCCGCTACGACCGACTGATGCTTCGATTCTTGTCAAAGAGATTGGGTATGCATTTCCTACGTGTCCTGATGCGAGAATTACACTCAGTGAATGAAGAGCTACGTCTGCATATGGCATTGATCATTAGGGACGAGGATAGTATGTCACGGCTGGATACGACAACGAACTGGTTTATAAAGATGCAAGATCTTGTCTGCGTGCCTTTGTTAACATGGTGATGTACCTGGGTATACATGAATTGCGGGTTTCTCGTCCAATACACTGACCATAGGAGCCAGGAGGGTACCAGAAAGGAAGGCAAATGAGGGATGGAAGTGTTTGAGGTGATTTCCCAAGGCGAGCATCTGAAAATGTGGCTGTCTGCAAAGCCTCGCAGGCACAGGATGGTGGGAAGATGGTTTACAGGGATAGTATCTACGAAGAGAGGCGAGTTGGCAAGGATCTAGAATCATAAGAGGAGAGTGTTCGGATGTATATGCGGAGAGACGTACTGCGTAGTGCATGGTCCTTAGGCTTCTCTTAATTTGATGCAGATATATGAGAGAAGACTAGCATGTCTCGTTTCTGCAACAACTGACAGCTTGCATATAGTTGTATAGCTACGAGCTCTCGTATCAGTCAACACAATGTGACATACAGCCGAACGCCTTGACTCTCGACATCAGCTTCCCACAACATAACTGCCGATAGTCGTGTGGCTAACAGACTAGGGAAGCTCTTGCTGCATTCTGACAGCAACTAGATGCAGTCATCGGTAGAGTCGATAGTTGAAATTGACGCATCACGAAAACAGGTGAGAAATTACGCCAAAGCATTGGTTGAAACTGAGTCTTACATGCAGCCGTAGACTATTTAAAAAAGCAAGTCTGCAGAATCCTAAAGGTGATGACGAAGGTCAACAGACGAGGAATACCTGATGCTCCTTTACAAATGTCTTCATCACAGCCACGATCAAGATTGCGATTGCATGTGCCTGGTCTCATCTTGACGTACCCAATCCAGCATCCAGTAGATGTGATTCCTGGTTCGGATTGATGCCTGTGTATCGAGGTATCTCGCCATGCTTTGCTGCTGGTAATTAGCCGCACAAAGTTCTAGCGTAGTCTGCCAGTATACAGCATGCAAAGCAGATCGAGATGCTGTGCATACAAGCATCGTAGATCCCTTAGAGAAAGTATCCATTACACGGTGATCGGCTGGACCAACGTTTGTAAACGACTACCAGGGATTTCATCCTTTACACTCATGTTCTTGGTACGCATATCGTCGACAGGGAACCCGTTGCTTAAGTCTCAACGATGACGGTGCATTGCAGGTTAACGGCAAAAGCATCTTGACACATCCTAGCGTAGCACAAGCCAAGGGTGACATCCGATGCGTATGGTCGTTCAGCACATGCGCGTTCTCCCGAACTTCTAGATGACGGACACTGACGGAGATCCGATCCTACGCAAGAGTAAAAAGTTCTGAATCTAGAACGATGCGGCAAACATCGGTGATCAGCAATCCAACATGTTTGGTAGGCTTCCTCAAGCCAAACCTGATGAACCATAGGAGCCAAAAAGCAGCGCATCCGACTTACCGTAGCGTCAACTCCTGTTCTGCGGCTTCCTCCGACAAACTGTAAGTTCTTCTCAAGCGTTGACTCAAAAAGAAAAGTCGGTCAACGATGACGAAATGCGGTTTCTCGAACTGTGTGTTAGAAGTGACTAAGGCCTTCTGTGAGGACGCGCGGTCGGGCAAGACGGGTGAATGTCGAGGTTGCTTGAGGAGCATGCTGCCGAGAAGCGAACGATGAATGAAAACTCTTTTGCAGCCCAAGAGCAAGACTCGAACGTTCACCTAACACATGTGATAGGCCCCGATGCGATGGCTGTGGAGATGGATAGGTATCGCAATCGATAAGTGGATAAGGCAGGGCGCAAATTCTCGCACATGGCTGCCACGCGGAACCAGTAAGACAACGCCGACGTTGCAGCGGGCCCACAATTCATTTCCAGCGCATGCTGACGGCTTGTGAATGCCATCATCATAAAGCCCAGAAGCTGTGGAGTTTGCAGCGTGCAGGAAAAGCGAGCGAACGACAGCTCTCGTTGAGGCGGTCCGGCAAAACAATCGCAGGAGTGTATGTCACATTGACGCTGTGACGGCTCTTCAGCCGGTCCCACGTCGCGAATCGGCGCACAGCAGGTTGAAGCTGGCGCTGGCAGGCAGTGGAGCGCACATAGCCAATCGTGAAAATGGAGAAGCAAAGTCGAACAACCAGAGCGTGTCCACAATCGCCATGCGCTGTAAGTGGCCATGAGCTCTGGCGGTCTGGCCCATCTGCTGTCAGTTCATCGAGACATGGCGCGACTCCTTGCGGTACACGTGTGTTAGATGTCCAAGACAGCTCAATCAGGGCGGCGGGTGCCTCATCTGCGGTGATGACATGTGCCCGAACGAGGCGCAGACACGCTGTGCCTGGGATGTTTCGTTTACCGGCTTCAGCTCCGGCCGTGCCCCTGGCGGAACAGGGCGCGAAGAGCTCCGCGATGCAGTGATCTTCAGGAACAGCATTGTGATTGGCTGCATGTGTCCGTCGCCATGCCACTTGCGGAAGTATGAAACCCGTCAGCTCTGCAGCCGGTGCGATATTTCGAACCTGGCCATATTTAGCTGGAAACGAGCGCATTGTCAGTGTAAGGAAAAAAGAACAGAATCAGCGCACGTAGGAGCGCCCTTTGCAAGCGCATGAACATGGAGAAAAGAAAGTCTGAAGCTCGTCCTGGTGGAGATGAGTGCCGACAATTTCGATCGAGCGGCGTCCATGGACGAATGAGTGCGGTAGCGTGGCGGCAACTCGACGAGGTCAGCGTTGTTGAGGGCGCCATGGCACGCCGTTCCACCAGCAGCCGGCCCGGAGTGGCAGGCCCCACGATGACAGAAACAGCCTAGACGGGCGTCGTGGTGAGCGGAGGATGCGATGTACAAGCGATGGCACGTTGCCAGGGGCCGGTTCTAGCGCTGTCCCTAGCGTAAAAGCCATGCGAACCCACTCTGCCCACCTTTCTTTTACTCACTAACCCACACCATCACCCACGCTCTTTCTATATTTCAAGCTGCTCCCTCTTCCTGTAACACTCATTCTGCAGGCTCGAGGTCTTCTTGTTCATTCATTCACTCCCTCAAGACATTTTTGTCTACAACTGTCATTCCTGACACCAACCATTGTCAACGCGACAACCCACAACTCACTTACCACTCCTTTGAACTGCTAGTCGGTTCAGTCATCTCCTGCAAACCTCACACCAACATCTACAGCACCACTCTCTCAGCTATCCAACAATACCAACCGTCAAAATGAAGGCATCTGCTGTCCTCGCTACTCTCCTTTTCGGCTCCTACGCCGTTGCTGCGCCCTTCGACAGGCGCGCGCTCGTCTACAAGACTGAGGTCGTCACTGAGACTGTGGTTGTCTACACCACCGTCTGGGATGACGAGCCAGTTGCCCAGGCTACTACCAGTGCTGGCGAGTTCTACGAGAAACCCAGCAAGCCATCCACCACCAGCACTGCCGTAGTTGCACCCACTTCTTCGGTTGTGGCCTCTCCCCCAGCTGCACCTTCAAAGGCTGCTCCTACCACCTCCAAGGCTGCCCCAGCCTACACTCCTGTTGTTCCTGAGGAGCCTTCAAGCGTCTACACTCCTGTAGAAACCCCTACTTCAGTCTACACTCCCGTTCCCACTACTCCCGCCCCAGCCCCAGAGAGCTCTTACGTAGCACCTGCTCCCAAGCCTGAGCCCACTACCACCGCAGTCACTTCTGCCGCCCCTGAGCCTGTCTACTCTCAGGCTGCTGCTCCCTCAAGCGCTGCGCCTAGCTACGCTACCACCGGCGGCACCTCCTCTGGTACGTCGTTCCAGGATGTAGAGATCACCATCTACGACAACACTGGTGCTGCTGGCGCTTGCGGTGAGGCTCTTACCGATGACATGCCTGTCGTTGCCATTGCTCAGGGCGCTTGGAACGCCCAGGGAGGAACCACGCACGACGTCATGACCGGCGCATCAACCAACCCGTGGTGCGGAAAGGAGATTGAGATTGAGTTCCAAGGCAAGACTGCCAACGCTAAGATCATGGATCTTTGCCCCGGCTGCGTGAACGAGTACGACATCGATCTCTCCCATGCTGTCTGGAAGGACCTTGGCCTGACCGAGATCACCCGTTACAATGGCGTCAACTGGAAGATCGTCTAAGCGTCTACTTCAATCATACCACGATCCATATACCCAAGATTCTGATATCTCGCTAGCGCAGGCAGGGTCAGCGCTTTGCACGACCATGTTACGACTCATTTTTTACGCATCAGGCAGGGACCGGTGATTGGAGTATACGGAAGGAAAACCGTTTTGTTGCGGTTCTTGTTCAGCTTTTCTCTTCTAGATCTCGCTCTACTTTCGCAACGCAGATCCCATGTTGTATTTGGGGATGTTTCGCTAAGCAGAGTGTCCATCCACACTCTTCTTGTCACTCGTTGATTATAGCAGGCTTGTCCAGCTTTTCTTTCGCTTCGCTGTATAAGACTTAGGGCTGGTGCATGGGACAACATCTTAGATACCCATGCAAGTTGGATACTGGAGGTTCCTAGCTACCAAAAGAAAATACATAGCGCATCGCGCAATTTCGAAATCACTCTTCTCTGTGTTCTGTGAATTGCTATACGTTTCGTATCGCTATTTGTGCAGGTTTTCATTCAGGTACATCACTTCTCACGCTTGCAACCAGGCGCCTAATAGGAGGCCCTCCCTACCGATACGAGCTGAGCTATTAACGAACGCGCAAGCACTCGACTCATGCTGCCGCGGCAATATGGCTGCGCCTCATGTCTACAGCCACCGTGCATACTTTTTCCAAAAAAGAATACGCTGAAGCCTCCAAAAATACGACCTTACGCCTCAGCACCTGCTGCCATCATCCCTCTACCATACCTCATGAGTAAGTAACTCAGCCACAGCTCTAGATGCAGTCCTTCTCGGACTCTATCCTTCCCCCTCAACAATAGGGGCTTGCGTTCGACAGTGGAAACTGTGCCGTAAGTCACACTCCAAAAACCGACTGAAGGCCCGACGTCGAAACAGAGCTTGCAGTTCGTTTCAAAATGAACCAAGCTGTGGTGTGCGACGTGTGTACCCCTTGGTAATTTCCATGAAGGGCCGGGGAAGAAAGGGTCTAGCATGGGGTGGCCGTGCTGTCGCATGCTCCACATGTTGGCTGTTTCATTTGTGAACACTATAATTCTCTTTGTGTAGCCTGGGATTTGTGAGCGTAGTGCAGTCTACCAAGTCCAAGCATTGGATCCTGTGCGTCTCCAAGTCTCAGAATGTTGTGCGGGAAACTGGGGATGCCGATCATTTAGGGATAATGGGGATGAGCAATTACTGCAACTTCTCCTTTCAAAGTTCCAGTAAGAATGACATCATCATGATCATTAACCAACACCACGACGATCAATAATAAAGAATAGAGATGAAAACTGCTTGTGATGACAGCTAACAACCGAAAGAAAAAAAGCATTACAATTCTTTTGAGAGCTTAGCCCATAACACGGATATCACAGCAACTTATCTAATATGGCGAACCGACTCTCCCATTCCCTCAATGAGATTGAATCTCACACTCCCGTCATCAAGGCGCAAGCTACCGAGAATGATGTTGCCTCCAAGAGTGGCGAGCAGATTGAAGAAGGTGACCACGTGTATACGAGGATAAGGGGTGGAAGGCACGAGGGGAACGTAAGCGCTCATCGATCCGACTCCACGACTTCGTTACCCGAAAATTAACAACAAGGAAAGGTTAACAAGATCGTGACAGACCAAGAGGAGGCTGATGCAGAAGATGTAAAGCATCCGCCAAAGGTACACTCTTATGGTTTGCGGAAAGAGGAGCAGAGATATTGAGATGCTGACTTGGTTGACTAGGTACTATCTACGGACCAGAAGGGGAAAGATGTAGCGCACAATCCAGGTACACTTGATGTCACAGATAGAGCCTGATAGATAGTTGTTCTCTCAAGCCAAGTCGATATCAGCAGGAAGTACGGGACAGAGATGTGACTTTCCATGTATACTGGACTACAGCAAACGACCGGAATGGGAGGCAAAGCCAATTGAATTCAATACATTATGATATTCATATTGCAAATCGAACCTCCTAACTTACAAACCGTTCAGCAGCATCTGCCAGTATCACTCCTTCGCATCTGCACAAGGTTTACCCGCCGACCCAAACTTAACCTCTCAGCCCACACTCAACAGGCGCATCTTTTAACCGCCGGAAGAGCCTGCATTCCACAGCTCATGCGCTTACCTACCGGAACAGGTATTTTTGTTCATGCAACCGGGTGTGAGTTTTACCAGCACTCATCCGGTGGTCAAAAGAAAGTTTTGACTCTGGTATGTGGGAAGAAGTGTGCCTTATCTGACATATCTCACGTGTTGCGCACGTGCTAACATAGGAAAGCACGTGGAAGGCATGTGTTGGCGAGCCGAGGCTGCCAGCTGGCGAAGTGGGATGGTGGATTGCTCCGAAGAGTCTCCGAAGGGCTCCGGGTTAGCCGCGAACAAAAGGAACGACATTGTTCATGCATCTCTATTGATCGCGCGGGGGCGCTGGAGCATGTAGCCCGTGAGTGATGTTTTGGTGGGGTATTCATGATCGGCTACATGTGGAAGACAAGTAATGATGAAAGCATGCGACACGAAGCTAAGCGTGCAAATTGGAGCTTGAGAGTATGTGAATGTTGTCAATGCTTGTTGAATTTGTCTCGAATTACAAATGTGGTAATCCATTTCCCCGTACAGTGATTCTCGTACAGTCCCAGCCAAAGGGCAGTCTTCCAAATCTTCATCTCATCCCGAGTATCGATCTTGATGGGTATAGAACGAAAGTAATCCCAGTACTTGTCGCTTCATCGCTTTTGTCGCAAATTCTCGTGTCCAACCCTCGTAAAGCAGATCATCGCAGTCCCTTTCCCGTGCGCCTCGAGGCGCGTGTGTGTAAGTATGTACGGTAGGTCATCCGGCACGTCCGGCTTCTATCTTAACGTCGCGTCATGATGCTTTCTGGATTTAAGCAAACGCGCTGGCACCACCGGACTCAAGCAGTTCCATCTCAGCCTGTGTCCATGACAGGTTCTGGAAGCGTGCAGGCAGCTCAGAGCGATCGAAGTACAAGCCCTTTCCTGCCTCAATGGGGCCAAGGTCCCTGCCAGATGCACCGCCAATGTGGCCGCCAACAAAGGCGCTAGGGATGTGGTTGAGCGGGCCGTGCTGTTGTGCCTTCTGTCGGTAGGATTTGAAAGATGAGGGAAGCTCGCTCATGGGAGAGGCAGGGTGGACGTGCGGGGTGTGGTCAACCTCTGAAACGCCATGTTAGATGTGCGACCGAGCAAGATGCGACGGTTAAACGTACTCTGAGGGGTGCTGCGCTTTCCCAGAAAGCGGATCATGGGCTGGCGATGAGCGAGAGCCCTTGTTGCGTTCATTTTGTGATGAGGTGATGCGGGGGTTGCGGGTGGTAGTATCAAGTGCAGGTTGCGATGGGGCGCGAGGTAGTGAAAAGCTTGCACAGGAGTGTTGGACGGATTGCTTGCGCAAGAAAAGCGAAGAAGGCGACAAAAGTGCAGTGGACGACTGTTGGGGAATTGGTGAGTGGTGGAGGGGAGCCGGAAGTGACAATGGAGATAAATCTTATTTCTGGCGGCAGCAAGGCAATCGCCGAGGCCCTGAGGATTGCAAACTAATCCCACTCGCACGCCAACGGCCTCTGGCCACGCTCGAACGACTGTCAGTTCAAGTCATGCGCGCCGTGTATTTCTAAGCCATTTGCAGCAAGCCGGGCAGTTCAGCGCGGTGTTTGTGGGCCTTCCACGCAACACTTGGAGGTGTTCTTTCACTTTTCAGGCCATAGCTTCCCGTCGCGCAATCCAGGCGGCTGTCTTTTCTGCTCCCGCACCAATTAGAGACGCTGCACACGCCGCCCGCCTTATCGAACCCCACGAGCTTCTCCGCATCCTGACCAGCGGATATTGCATATTGATATTCGTTCCTCCGACTGCGGTGCGGACCCGACTTTGCTCACCATGCACGAGTTGAGCCTCTACGGCCAGGTCACCTTTGCGCGCTATGAGCAGGTGCTGAACATTCTGGCTGGGGTTGCTGCCATGCAGCCCCAACGTGTTTTCGAGCGCAACATTATCTACAAGCCTACGCGCGAGCCGGAGGAGCCCGGCTCGAATCTTGGCCGTCGCGGCGGCACCCAGACTGTCGCGCAGAAGCAGGCCAAACAAGCTGCTCCTGTTGTTCTCTACCATACCCGCCTGGTCCAGAAGCTGTCTGAAGACGACTTTGCAGCTGAAGACGGCCTGCCCGAGGAGAGCACAAAGACCTTGTCTGCTGACACACAAGACGGAGAGGAGCCAGCATGGTCGTTTGTCTTCCGAGACGTACCGGATACTGGGGACAGAGGTGTCTCAATCCGCTTCACCAACACCACTGACTTGCTGTCTGGCGACCCACATGCTTTCATGATCGCCTCAGGGCCCAATCAGTGAGATCTTCTCTCCATGCGTGCCTTCACCTCTAACAACAGTGCAGGTTCGTGACTGAGTTCTACGTCGAAGGCTACCGTTTTGTGCACGGCAATGTCGTTATATTTGTCTACCGCATCCTCCACGAGCCCGGCATACGCAATGTCCAGAAGGCCCCCAAGGCCACACTACCGACATGGAACGGGCTGAAGCTACTTGATCCAAGCGGTGTTTACACGCTCCAGGCTACCGTCCGCATCGAAGACTTTAACAACGCAGCTGTACTGGAGGCAGGCGTGAATGAGCTGAAGAGATTCCAGACGCAAATGAAGGGCTGTGTGAACCTGGCTTTGCCAGATCGACTTGCACTGGATCCCCGCGTCAAGTACAAAGCTCCGACAGCCCCTGCCACCCAAGCGCGACCTCGATGAAGACTGCTCTCATACTAACAGAGAGCAATGGGAAGCGGAAGGGAGGTTTTAGGCTAGGAATCGTCATGTCAGCCTCCAAAGGCTATAGAGGCAAAGTATCAAATTCAGCTCTCTAGGAGTGTCAGCGAGTGCCAACGAACCAACATATCATGTTGGTAGAGAGACGATAAGGATCGGAACAAGTCCGTTCGCTGGGTCAGGACGCTGAGGGGTTTGGTCTTTTGCAGTGCATCTGGCT